AAAAAAGAAAATAAAAAAAGAAATAATTTATTTTATAATTGACAATACATACAAAATTTAAGAAAACACATTTATTTGAAATGTGTACATTACTTTTATCGTTGTATATCTACCAATAGATTGTTTTTTACAAAGTTTAAAGATCTTATTATAAAAGAGAAGGAAAGAAAAGAAAAGAAAAAAGACTGTAAATAATGTTGTATAAATATGTGTATAAAGACTGCACATTGATTAAATAAGTTTATAAGTCTTCTCATTGTATGCGTTTTCTTTTTTTTGGTGCGAGAATTTTTAACATGCTTACTACGGGAGCTTCAAAACTCACTGATACAATGAATGATAGGAAATAAGATAAGATCAATTGTCCTAAGAAAGTTATCATCTGAAATAGAAAATTTATGGTGTTAATATATAATATAATGTTATAGATAATTGATTATAACTTATACGTTAAAAGTATTTACCATTGTATCTTTTCCCAAATGAAAAGGTGAATCTAAATTCATAGTAGTCAGTCTAATTATTATTGGATGAATAAGATAAGCACAATAGGTCACTCTACTGAATGGATATAAAATAGGTGCTGACAAAATTTTGTTTATATATCCTAAAAATATTAGCACATTATTATTTTGACATTTTTCTATTTTTATGATGACATTTACCTCCGTAACCTGTACTACATGCAACAATAATCCATGCTAAACCAAGTGCCCAAGCACTGTGGCTTAATGAAGAATAGGCAGCGGAAGTCACAGGACTAAGTTCAGTTTCATATAAACCATAAAGTAAACTTAAAAGACAGCCGAAAGAAAGTAACCACCCTATAACAACTGTGGCCTGTGAAAATGATGAAATGAAATGTTTCAAAAATGACGCCAAGTTATTTATTCTTATAGTTATTTAGTCTTACCTTCGACATTTTCACTTTACAATCAGTCTTGAAGAGAAAATATCCTACTGACATCCCAATTAGATATGGTCCTAATCTAGTCCATGGTTTATCATAAATTTTGTCAAACAAAGCCAGTGGATCATCCGAACTTGGCATATGATTATTAGCAAGTGCAATGTACCCTGTTGTTAACCAGGAGCTCACTAATAAAGTGATAACAGCAGTTGCTGCAATTTTAAAGTGATTTACAGCTAATACTAATATTACTCCACCAACGATATAGAACTGTGTATCGTCCGCAACGTACCAACTCCAAGGCATACACTGAAAAAATATATGCAGGAATGTTAATGTTAACAATGTTTAAAGTTAGATAAAAATAATGAAGGTATAATATTTACCATTTGGTCTACAGGAAAGAAAGTATTAATATAAAGTAAATTTCTCCACCAGTAATTAGGGCAATTGTAATGATCAGCCGTAGGAGGTTCAAAGACAGAATTGTAATGGAACCATTTCATAGAAATCTCAACAACACCCAGAATAAACATATACGGTGCTGTAAGCCTACAGAATCTATAGACAAGCAACCCAATGAATTTCAATGACCCAGAAACAAAACCTTTTGTGCCCTGAGTAAGTTTATTCAAATCTCCTTTAGCATTGGTCCTAAAGTATAGAAAACTAACAAGTAAACCGCCCATAAAGAAAAAGGTATCCACGCTGAAAGCTCCATTAGTAATTGTTTGAAAAAGAAACTTTTTCTCAACAACTTTTCGATATTCCATGTTATCAGAGTATTTGAAAACTATTATACAAGTGTGCCCAAGTATCACCCAAGCCATTGATATTGCTCTTAGACCATGAATGGTACTGATTGTATCTCCTCCAACATTACCATCACAGATAACTTTTAAATTGGAAGGAACAGAGAAAGACAAGAGCAACTCTTCAAGAACACCTGTAATCATAAGTATTATTAATATGAGTTTATTCTTAAAAGTATATTGCCTGAACTTACTAAGTTTATATACTTCATCGGATGGCTGCAAGGTATTCTCGTGATCGTTATTGTTATTGACCGGCGCAGATCCATTGGGAACCGTATCTGCGACTGGAACAGGAAGATAGACCATACCTTGAAAATCTACGAAATGTAATAATGACATTGTGTCACTTTGACTATCATTTGTCTGCAGTTGTTAATGTTAGTCACCGTATGTATACGTTCAGTCTTGTCAAATTCGAAAGTTATTAAACAGTGAAGACAAGTTAAACGAACTAGACAAAAATTTGTTCTTACCGTTTAACGTTTTTGGATTTCCATTACTGAGTTGATCAAGCTTTCCATGTTTTTCCAAATCGTAAATCATATTCTTTTTTCGAGCGACCATTCGAGTCAAATACCAATCATATCCAGAACCAGCTATCATAAGAATCATCACCGCAGACGTGACTCCACTGAAATGATAAAAGATAATAATGAGGGATCATTAAACAAAACATCAAAACAGAAACTTACAAAAGAATCCAATAGACAGGATCGGAGTACATGTCGTACAAATTGCGTTGATCTCGAACTTTTTCAATGACTACATTTTTACCAGTAATATCACTAGCAGCAAGTTTTGCTATTATTGATACGTCAGCCGATGTGCAAGAAAATGGCAAACAAACTCCAATGTGCATCAATCTTGTCTGAAATTATTCAAGAACACAAAGCAAAATATGTTAATAATTATTATAGATATTTAATATAATCATATAACATTGAGATTATATTAATTACCGTAGGTAACAAGGTCATATTTAAAGAAATTCTCATCATATAAAAACCTAAAGGATAAGGTGGTTGATCTATTAAAGTTTGCGTTAAAAGATTAGAGCCACTCAAACCGGGGTTTCCTTTTTTATGGGGTTCTGTGTTAAATTCCTGTACTTCATCTATGATAGACATGGATGTAGATTTTTCATTACTTCGTACGTAATTTTGACCGATGTATCCACATTCTGTTGCTGACCCAGTGAAATATGAATTACCCCAGAAGAAACCATTGGTGTATCTACCCGAAGCATCGTCAACTATAATCCAACAAAAAAAAAAAAAGGTTTCAAAAGATTAACTTTGAAAAATCATTTATTTGTCATATATAAGAAAGATGAAAATAGAGATACTGTCATTTGTGCAATATATATAGATCGGATCACTTTTTAACTGATCAAAGCAGATAATTATCAGAGATATCCCTGTTAGATTATTTTTCATAATAATATATAAGCATGATTGAATTATGAAGGATTGATTATTGGAAGAACGATTAGAAGAGCCTAACTCTACGCACGTTTCTAATCAAGTAAAACTTTCTATTCGGGAAGTGAATACGACGTTATCTAACCGCATACCTCAAACTTTTCTGGGGTTTGTTCGCAACACGTTTCAACTCTCTCGTAGAACTTCAAGATCGTATTATGGTTGAATGCGAATTTTGCGGTTTTAAAAAGCAACATCATCGTTGTTAAAATTACGGGAGAAACTAAAACTCATCGTAGTTATATCATATTAACGAAAATTTCCTTTTAACTTTCTTTTCAAGTGAATAATATTTTCAACGTATTATAACATTTGTGAAATATTTTTCACATTTCTTTTTACAGGTAGTACACAAAGAAAGTAGTAATATTTGTACTAGTATTTTCGATACAAATACGTTTTGGTAAAATGCGTTAGACAACGAACATCGTGAGACCTCTAAAGTCTAAAACGTGAATGGAATTAATAGAAATTCGTCAAGAAATCGACGTGTCTTATTTCTTCTTCTTCTTCTTCTTCAAAGTCAAGTTCAATTTAGACACACGTAACTCCTCGATTTCTTTCCTCTGGTTCAACGCGAGGCAAATAAATCAAATACTCGAGAGATCTTTCAATTACCAGGATGAACGAATTGCATATATTTATAAATAAGCGAAGAGGGACCAGGGAAGATATCTTTTGAGCATGTGTTTTATATCATTCTAAATTACATTATGAATTGTTTAATAAGTTATGTTTTAATTAACAATTAAAGAGTGAAATATAATATTAACTGATTTTCAACAAGGGATAGGATTATTATCTTTTCATTCAAGACTTTTGGATTTTATTAATAGGATAAATAAATTTCCATATCGCGATCACGTAAGTGAAATTAAAACGAATTGATTAACGATCGAGAAATACGATTGATTGATTTTGGTCAAGCTATGATTTTGATTGTATAATCAAAATAGGGAAAGTCATTTCGAATGTGAAAGACTTTCTTCTTTGAAAAGTATTGCGAAAGTAATGTATACTTTTTGCTAGGCATTCAATTTAAAAGATATTCATTCTACCAAATTTCTATCGATAAGAGTAAAAAGTTCGTAAAAACATATTCGAAGATATGCACAATCGTTTATTGTTTATTCTTCTATTTTTTTCAGGGTCAACATTTTCAAGGTAAAATATAAAAGTATAATTCATTGAACGTTCCTGTCTACGTACGAAGAATGGAAAGTAGTTCTAGAATTGGATGTTAGTGAAAATATCGGTCAATCATTGTATACTTTAACGGTCGACACTGAATGAAGCAACACGCGTTAGAAGTTACATCAATAATATTTCAGTGGTATGCATAGATATATATATATATATATATATAATAGATTATCTTCAAATTGAAATTAATCAAATTGAAACTCTTTTGATTAACAAATGAAATATACGAAATAATNATATATATAATAAGAATGATAATAAGGTAGGATATTTCAAAACGAGCAACATAAAACGTACTTTCCAATTTCTTTTCTACGATTCTATAATATAAAAAATGAAAAGAAAGTTTCTTTCAAAAGTCTATACGAAATAATGTAGAATGGCTTATTTTAATGGCAGTAAATATTTAAAGAGAGTCATAACGATAAAAATAAGATGGGTCTACTTTCACGCTAGCCAATAATTACATCTAATTGGGTATTATTCATTTCGTGAAATCTGCGACTAATAAATGAATAGTATTATTATTAATGGTTTTATTATGACTAACATTTATTTGGTTAGTATTAATATTTTGAATAAATAGTATGTACTTGTAATAAAATATATATCAACGTATATTTTGTATCATTGAAAATACTGCCAAACTTGATTGATTATATTAATTGAGATAAATTTCATTCATTACCATATCGTTCATTACAAAATATCCCATTCTACTATAACAAGAAGAAATTTTTTTTTTCTTTTTTTTTCCTCTAATATCAGATATCAAATCTTTATTCTCTCAAATCTATTTGAATTTCACAGAGTATACCTACAACATTCTCCGCTCTAGAATGAATATTATGTCGAACACTTATTTGCGGTATACAGTGATGCAATGTGGATATTACCAATGCAAATTGAATCGAGATAATATAGTATAAGAGAGTATCAGTATTAACGAAGATTATCCGAATGAAATGATATCTTTGGTAAAACAGTTACGACGTTAATTAATGCTCTTTTTTCATTTGTGTTATTTGATAAAGTCGCCAGGATTTCTGCCATAATTATAATAATCATAATTTTCTAATAAGACCACGACTACCCGATGCGTATTTCATAATACGTAAATATAATACTTCATTTAAAATTCAATCCATTTCAGATAGAATAAAATAATGATCTAGAAATCAGTAGAAAGGAAAAAAAGTGATATTGTCATATCATGTTAGCCTATATTACATTTGAAAGTAGAAAGAAAGAAACACATCAAAGAAAGGCACAAAAATAATCTAAATGTCAAACGATTTCCTGATGGGGTAAAACGATGCGGCGGTATTGGATACCGAGTACCTTTCACCTTTCTTCGAGCTAACGAATTGTAGTTTCATTCGACGATAATCCCAAATACATGCTTATAAAGAGGGAAAGTTAAGAGGAACACGTCTATCTGTTCCTTGTTAAAGAAACCGGATGTCTGAGCGGTTCGTTCAAATATTCCTCCGAAAGGTAAAAGACAATTAATTCAAGTTAAAAGTGAAATAGTGATAACAAAAGAATATTCGATTCTTCTTTGTTTACCATAAAAAGCATGAAATATTTTTATGATAAAAATTTTTTTTTTTTTGTTTTTGAAACAATGCCCTTCTTGTTTTTAGTAACACAAAAATGTGTTACTCATTTTGAACTGTATACGCGTGCACGCGCAGGAATCAATCTTTCTTCGTTAATTAATTAATTATAAATAATATTACGGGATATATATAGGGGAAATAAAAAAGAAGATGAGAAAAAGAGTAGCATTGACCGAGGAAAGTAAAACGTCGAAAGTGACTCTCGTCGCTGGTCAAACTGGTAAGGCCATTTCTCATAAAGCCGTTCGTGGTTATACGAGCGTTTCTTTGTATCGCTAAAAGTGAAACCCTACAGATGAAAGTAGGTAAACCAGGAGGGACTGACTGACCGTTAAAGAGAAAAAGGCTTTTACTTTTTCAATTGAAATCATTTGGGTAGCCCAACATAAGTGTTGCATCACGTGTATACCTTGATGAACAAATGTCCCTATTTTATCTATATAAAACAATTTTTATTCTTATTTCACTAATTTAATGAAAGGAAAGTTAAGAAGATCTAAGATATGCGTGGCGCAGATTTGTTTACACGTCTGCAACCATCTTAAATGCCATCTTAAATAAAAGTGCAATAGAAATAAATGTTTATTATTCATTAGAAAGACAAATGATTCTAATTCATTTGGAGTAGTTTTTTCAGGTAGAAAATAATCATTTATGCGTGTGCAAACATCATGTTAGGTAAGAAACACCTACGTAGAAAGTGCCTCTGAAGGATACAAGATACATCTTGCGATCAAATGGCCGATAGAATTTTTCATGTATTCATGCATGAATTTATACAATTTGCTTATTTTCATCTTTATTTCTTATTGTATATTAACACTGATTTTTCACAGAATTATGTTAAATAATGATTCAGAAATATGAGATGCCAAGATTAACGAATAAAGGTGTTTTTTTTTTTTTCTGAATTTAATAATAAGTAGTAACTATCTGCAACAAGATTCGCTATTATAAATGGAGAATCGCGACGAGAGAACAGAAAAGAATTTGAAATATTGTTATTATTATTAAATGCAGGACTACGAAAGAAAGAAACCAGTTTTATAGCGCGGACAAATTTTAGCCACTTCTCGAAATTGCAAATAATCGAAACGATGAATAAACATTTCGTCGAGCGTAGCATATATATATATTTGTGCAATTAATTCATAATATTAAATGTAATTGCAATAAAATGAATAACAACAGGAAGCGCTCATTATCTAAACATTATTCGCGCACACATGATTGTTGTCTACGCGCGGGTTAATAATGACTTCTTCGTTAATATGAATATCTCGTAAACTTTCTATTGGTATACTAAATTTGTACTCTTTCAGGTAGGTGAGAGAGTAACAGCGAGTGCCAGAAAGTTTCGTAACACACACGCATACCTATGAGAAAGAAATCTGCGGGTTCGTTAAAAGGAGGAAAGCATCAAATCTACATACAAGCGTGCACCTCTTATGCATTCATTATCAAAATTCTGTAGAAGAAAGAAAAGAGATAAAATGATATAGGTAAAACTACGAAATTATTAGAAATAAGCAAAATTAGTTGTCAAAATAATCATTTTCTTTGTAGTTATACGAACTGATCAACTTGCCTATAATTGAGAAAAAAATCAAACAAGAAGACAAAGTAGAGAAGAATGAATAAAATTAATTTTTTTCCTAAGTATATGTACAACTTACCCTTAAGTGCCCACAATTCTTGGTTCTTCAAACCCTCGATGTACCTACTGATATCTTTGCCACATTGTTCACCAATCGGATATTTTCCTTCCACCCAGTTTCTCGCGAGATTACGAGCACTGTAAATGTCCAAAGCTTCGGTCAAAGTCGTCCAATTTTTCTGAGGACTTTCCATGATCTCTGGTAAACTTCTGGTCCGATGCTTCAGAATCAGAGTGTCTGCATAATCTACCGATTTCTCAGCAGATATTGCGAGAAACGCGCAAATAACGATAAAGAGTCTTAAAAGATTCTTCATTTTTCTCTCACACTTTATATATTTAACGATAAATATTTATCAAACGATTAGAGAGAAGGAAACGATAGAGAGATTATTTATTTAAGAGATCACACACTAAATTATGCTAATCGGCATAATTGTTTATGCAAACTGCGAGTTAATATTAATTATAGTTTATGTTAAGGATAACAACAACAGCAACAAGGAAAAAATGAAAAAAAGAATGGAAGGATTGTTCAAACTGTATTCCACGAGGATAACAAAACAACGAAAGACTTTCCCTCCAAAATGATTGATTCAATTTCCAGTCAAGTGAACTTCAGCGGTAACATTTTATGATCTTTTGGAAATATAACTTCCTGCTTGATATTCTTTTTTGGAATCATAATTCCAGCGGAACTACCGGAGATAGTAGCGAGACCACGTAACTGTTCTTTGCGATAACTATGTCAGACCAAATCTGGGACCAAGACTGGGGGACCAAGACTGGTTCCTATTTGTTCGATGACCATGGATCAACTGTATCGTCCGACTGCTCGCTTGTAGAGAAATGCTTTTCGTTCGAGTCAAAGCGCCACGATATAATGAGGGAGGTGGTGGTAGGGAGGAGCTTCCTCGTAATAAACTACCAAGAGACACCAAGAAATTGTTGATTGTCGATACGACTAGGCTTTCTAAAATTCATCCAACATTTTTCAATTATATGACTCGTATAATTCGTTCACGCTTCTTCCTTTTCTTTTCAAGTATTTTTTATATACCAACAATTATTGAAATTTGCATCAATCGCATTTAAATAAACAATTGTCTTTAATATTTTCTTATCTAAATAAATAACACGCATATTTGAACTCTTACATCTACATAATGAAGATTAGAAAATTGTATTACTAGAGTACTAGTATGTTTCATATTGAATTCATTCAAAATGATTTGTCAATCAACCTGACACAATGTCAAATCGACTCCAAAGTTTAAACATGTTTGACATGTCGCATCAACGATCAAAGTATTTTACGACTATAGGGTTAGATTAACTTATTTCCTACTTACATACTTTCTTTCATCCGAATGATAATGTTTTTATTTCTGTCATAGTCTAGCAAGTCACGATCATGTATAACAACCAAGATCATCTATGGAATCGTTACTTAACCATCTTTCGATTTGTCTCCTTTCGCAACCATGATTTTCTGCTTTTTTTATATTTTTTGGGATAGCAAAAAATTGCTTCTTCAAGCGGAAGAATGACGAAAATTCTGAAAGTTAATATATATCCTGGATGACAAGATATACGTCACGTTTACGATCTTTCTACTCTCTCGTGATTAGATTTAAACGGAGAGATGATTTAGTTGATACATCAAATAGTTTATATAACAATTTGTTTTTTCTTTGAAAAAAGGAAAAGAGATCGAAGTTTTTTATTTTTATTTTATTTTATTTTGCTGAGTAACACTTGCGAAATCGTGGGAAGAGTTTCATATAAAGTTTTCTAGATAGCTAAACGACGAAAACTAAAAGTTTCGCTATGAAATTTCATAGTATTAAACTAACATCTTCTCTTTCTCTTTCGTTCAATGATATATAAGTAGCATTTATTACTACCTAGGTCGTACCTAGGTCGTACCTACGTCGTACCTACGTGATATTCACTCAACCCGAAACATATTATTTTCTTTTTTTTATTATTATTATTATTATCACCCCTACAATATTTAAGCTGATTCATACGCGTGCAATCAAATTCAAATTCTTCTTGAACAACTAAATAAAAATTAAATAAATCAAAAAATAAAAGAAAAGAAGGAAAACAAGTATCAGACAAAAATTATCATTTATATTCAAAAGTCGTAAGATCATTTTTGTATAAACACGCAAAAGCCATTAATTAATTCTTTTCATTCATGTTTTATTGCTCAGACCGCTAGAGTTGTTGGAATTGTAAATGAAACCACACGTTTAATAGAACTATACAAAAGAAGAAACATAATAAGAGTCGATAAAAATCTGATGGTCGCAAAGCAGTTTTCCTTGGACTGAAGTCAAAACAAAAAATGTTAAATATTTTATAATTTTGTAATTATATTATGTGATCGGTTTTTTATACGAACATATGCATCGTTGAAAGTCTACCCTTTCGAGTATAGTAATCATATTTTAAAATGAACGCGGAATAAATTAACGATGACTATGTAAAAGTTGTTCTAGAAAATTCCTCATTTTCCGCTTGATTCATTGATTATTCAGGGTTGATATTGTTTGTTAATATAATCCCAATATATATAGAAATATTAGTTTTGTAGCACGATCCATATATTCAACAATACATATATAGAATTACGTCAGAGTTAAAAGTTAGCTCATACGTTAGAATACAACTCGTCCAAGTTAAGTTGATCTTATTGCAAACCTCTGGATAAACCACTTTCTCGCTTTCTACAGGAAATCTTTCAGTGCGTTCGAGGTTCTCATTTACTTAACCAATTGCGCGTTTACAATTTTTTAGCCGCCTATATTTTTTCAAAAAGCACAATTATAAATTAGATAATATCACGTAATCAAATGAAATGTGTGAACTATCAACTTAACACTTTGTTAAAAGTTGACAACTTTTAATGAAGCTAATTACGCTTTACCCACAATTTCATATATTTCACATTCATATATTTGTGATAGTTAACAATTAACGTGCATGGTACGTGACTTTAATGGAAGTAATTAAATTTCATTGTGGAAAACGTAAATAAATCTGCATTTTCTGCATCGTGTGATTAAAATAATATTATCTCAGTTAACGAGCCACTCTCGAAACAATAACTTTTGTCTATTTGCTTTTTTAAAATTTTAAAGAAAGTGTATTTTAATAAATTTTTAATTCTAACTTATCTTTCATTCAATGACTTTTTTCTTATTCCACTTGAATATATCTCGGGAAAATATTTAACTCACATTGTAGAGCTATTTAATTCCCCTAATATCTGTGTTTAAAACGATACATTTATATGTTCAAATAATGAACATTTCAATAATTGAATTCATTTCCAAAATTTATCTTAGTATTTTAGAAAATTATCTTAATGTTTTCGCTCGCGCAAATCCACGCTTTGTTTTTAGAAATCAATTAGAAAATTTATAATTGTAAGTTTCCTTTTATCCTTGAATTATTCGTAGAAAATAATTGAAATTATAATCAAATATCGACGGAGAACACTCCTTTTATCGAAGAAGAAAGTACATTTCGTTTGTGATATCATTTACGTAACACAATTACGTTTGATTCATAATACAAGTAGACATTAGATTGTTACGTCTGTAAAACGTAACGTTTATTATTTCTACATTGCACGCTATTTCACGTGTATGTAAAGAGTATTCAAGTTTTATTCGTTAATATATATATATATATATATATATATATATGTTACCGTCAAAGCCGGAAATCCGTCATTGCTAGTAATTCCTCGGCATTACTATGAATGCAAAGAGCCTTCAGACGAAGTCGGAAAT